TTTTTTAGCTTGTTTCAATAACCCTCACAATTCCCACTAAGACGTCTGCGTTTTAGCTTCTTGCCAGTGAATGACTCTTTCTTGGTGCTGCAAGGCACCTGAGGCTTGACGACAATAAAACTATAGCCAAGATATAATGAATTTGAAGCTAAACAATACCATGCAAAAACAAATTCCTAAACAAGAATACGATAAAGCTTGCTACACCAAGAAAGACCCTAGACTGATTCCATAAGTCTGTCCAAGTTCGCTGTCAGTCCTTTTTTTGTTGTTGTTGTTGTTTGTTTGTTTGTTTTTGTTTGTTTGTTTGTTTATTTGTTTGTTTGTTTTTTGTTGCTCATGGATTGTTGAGCCACCCACAGTAACAAAAGAGCGAAAACTACGCATTATACTTATGAAGTCTGTCTAGAAAGACCCTAGAAAATAAACTATTTATAACTCCGATCATTGAAAATTTTATGGTTGAGCCCCTTTGGAGACACCGTGCAATAAACGGTTGCTTGAAATGTTGCATCCATCTGGTTTCATCAAGTGAAAATAAACTTCAGCGTGGCTGCAGTCGCGTGATTTTCTCAACCAATCAAATTTCATTAGTTTTAGCTTTACCGTTTGCCAGAATTGATACGTTCATTGATATCGATTTCATAGTTTGTTTTATTGCAACAAAAATGCGACGTGTGAAATATAATTGTGGTGTCTGCGTTTTTTTCTATTTTTTTCCAGGAATTTCCAGGAAATACAGATCAATCAACAATTGTTACCAATTCAATAAAGAATCCATTCAAAGCCAAGTTTATTCGTATTCGACCGAAGGACTTCAATAGATGGAAGAGTATAAGAGTTGATTTTAAAGGACTCTCAGCAGGTACAGCAGATATCAATTTATTACTCTTGCCTTGCCTTGCCTTGCCTTGCCTTGCCTTGCCTTGCCTTGCCTTGCCTTGCCTTGCCTTCTCCCCTCTTCTTACTTGACTAATCTTCAATTGTTACAAGATGTCTTTCTTACCTCTAATGCAACATTTTTTCTCTTTCGACAATAATCCCAGCCTGTGGCACATCATTGGGTCTCGAGAATTCCCACATACCGGACTCCCGGATCACCTCCTCTTCCTCATTGGATAATTCCCATGCTGCATCACATGGTCGTCTGTACGGTAGCTCCTCATGGTGCAGCTCCTCTTCATCCAATACCGAGTACATCCAGGTCGATCTTGGAGAGGCCAAGACAGTAACAGGTATAGCAACACAAGGAGACAAAGATTTGGATAAGTGGGTAACGTCATACAAGATGGGCTACAGTTTTGATAATAGATATTGGTACAAGTACAAAGAAGAGAAACTTATCAAGGTAAAAATGCTTTATGATAGAAGCAATTGATTTGTTTGGCTCTATATATTATCCACCCAAATGCAAATAGTTATACACCTAATTGAAAAAACGTTGTCGGGTTCAAAAAAGGTTATACAAGTATTGTTATTATTTATTATTATATCATCAAAGCTAAGACCGAAGGGGAGCATGGGAAGACAAGCAATTATGCTAATKTTATGCGTATTGCAGTTTTCCCTTCCTGTGCACATTTTATGCATCATGGCTTTGGCATGTTGTTAATCTAGGTCGACTGACTTTGCTCTACTGTGCATTTTTAGTTGTCTATATGCAAATACGATATACATTTCAGAGTACCCAAAATCCTTGTCGGTCTTAGATTCGATGATATGACCTTCTCGAACCCGACTACGTTTTTTCATTTAGGTGTATTTCAATCTCGACTGTATTAGTATACCTCTGGGTTCTCGGCTTCGATTCCGGGACTTGACATCACATAATGAGTTTGATAGGTTTCTTTTTCTTGATTCGAGGGTTTTTGTCTGAGTTCTCCAGGTTTTCCTCACTCCGCAAAAACCCAGTACGCTTAATTCCAATTTGAATCCAATTGCATCAGTAGAGTTTTGCATCATCATGTACGCACGCCCATAATACAGCTTGGACTACCTGTGGTTAGATGGCAGAACAATAAAATCCCTTTGCTCCTGGGAATTGAATTCTTTCGCATGTAAAACGATTGTATTGTTCCTGCCATCTGACATGGCTGCCGTCACGTGGTGGTGAAAAACCTCTGTAATCCTAATGTCAGCTTCAAATCTCCTTCCTTGTTAGGTATTCAATGGAAACAAAAATAGAACTGACGTCATAGTTAACTGGCTAAGCAATCCAACTGCAGCTCGTTACGTCAAAATATTTCCTCAGAGCAGTAACGGTGGAGTCTGTCTAAGACTCGACCTTTATGGATGCACCTTCTGTGAGTAAACACTAGAGTAGTTAAATCTTTCATTTACTACATATTGTAGCTCCATATACTAAATACTCAGTCAAATAAAGCTTTTATTTATTTTTTTTTATCATTAACATTATTATTATTATTATTATCATCATTATTATTATCATTATTATTATTTATTATTATTATAGAAAGTTTTATTTGTCTATATATATAATGTTTACATTGACCAGCGCACCAAGTCTAGGCTGGTTACGTTCATCATTTTTTATCATTTTTTTTTCATCTCTTTTTTGATGCCTGCACGTAGTTCCGTGTATTTTTCTTGTTTTTCATCAGTTCTCTCCGCAATC